CGGGTCAGGCGGTACACACAGGTAACAGGCACCATCAACACTATCAGCAACAACATACATGGCAGCAAGAATAGCATCAAAATCAAGATCAAAGATAGAAACCCCGGCCTTAGTCAGATCTCCCCAGTGAGGGATCTCTGACGCCTCAGGGAACTGGCGACGCCACGCGTCCGTCAGGCGACCAAAGCAGCGCTGGGTGGAGTGCGGGCCTCCGCACTGCTCACCAGCGCGGTCGCCGGTATGGAGGACATAAGCGCAGTGACCAAAACCCACACCGCGCTGACGTGCAGTGTACCACTCACGAAGCTGCTGAGGGGACAGGGTCACACCACTCCGCTGCTGCTGCTGGCGCTGACCACCACCGGCGCCACTCCTATGCGCAGAGTCGCGACCCGCTCCACCACCGCCGCCTCCGCCGCCGCCGCCGCCTCCACCGCCTCCTCCACCTCCGCCTCCTCCGCCACCTCCGCCGCCTCCGCTCCCTCCGCCACCTCCACCGCCTCCGCCTCCTCCACTGCTGCCGACGCCGCCGCCACCCCCAGCACCACTCCCACCACCACCCCCACTCCCTCCACTGCCTCCATCACCACCTCCACCGCCCCCTCCAGCCCCTCCAGTGCCCTTGCCCCCCTTGCCCCTGCCGGTGCGGCGTTTTCCGCTCGGGGCAGACGCAGCGCCGACCGACTCGAAACCAACGAGGTCGGCCGCAGCAGCAGAGGCAACACAGGGCAAGAGGGGGGAGGGAGAACACCCCTCAAAGACGGGGGTGCGAGGGTCACCACGAGAGGCTCCTACAGCGATTATGCTCTTCTCTATTGCTAGGAGGGCCTTCTCGAGGAGGTCAACGGTGAGAGTGGTGGGGCAAACTGAGAGGAAGTGGTCCCTGACTACGCGGAGAGAGTCAGGGAGCCGGGTGACTATGTAGTAGAGGGTGATGTACTTGGGGGGGGGGGGGGTTCTTGGCACAGAACTCAGCAGGAAGCGCAGCGCGGTAGCGAGTGTCACTAGTGCAGAGGTGCGTAATGAGGTCAGCGACTGTAGGAAAGGCAGCAAGGTCAGGGAAGAGGTACGGTAGCATGAGGCGGCTCAGTGCAGCAGTGGCAGGGGAAGAGTAGCATGCAACTACAGCGTCGTACAAGGTCTGAGCACTCTTGTACTGGCTAAAGTGTGCACGCTCAGTGGTCGGTAAGTGGCGGCACACAACAAGGCGAGCAGCAGCATCGCGCGTGGCCCACTGCGAGCGAACAGTGGCGTCAGCATCAGCAGCAGGGGCAGGTGAGGCACCAGAAGTGAGGTCAAACAGGGAGAGGCCGTCTGCCCTATCGCATTGGAGAAACAGCTGGAGGTCGTCAACCCAGACCTCAAAGTCAACGGCACGGCCCTCAGCATCAAAAGTGAGGACACTGGGGGTAGCCATGACTGCAGTGGCCTAGGAGGAACTGAGCTCACCAGTCCGAGGAAGGAGGGGCCGGGGAGCACCGGTAGGAACAGCAGCTGCTAGACAGTAGGGGGGCTCGGCGGCTCGGCGGCTCGGTGGCAGGGCGGCTCGGCGGCAGGGCGGCTCGGCTGCTGGGCGGCTCGGCTGCTCGGCGGCTCGGCTGCGGGGCGGCTCGGCTGCTGGGCGGCTCGGTTGCTCGGTAGGCGGGCGGCTTGGCTGGTGTGCTGCTCGGCGGCTCGGTCGCTGGGCGGCGGAGCAGTGATGGGGCCGCTAGGGTAGGGCGACGGGGCCGCGGGTGACGGCGACAGGGCCGTAGGTGGTGGTGACGGGGCCGCAGATGGCAGTGGGGCCGAAGGTGGCGGCGGGGCCGCAGGTGGTGGCGGGGCCGCAGAGGGGCCGAGACGGGGCCGAAAGGGGCCTAAGCGGGGCCGAAAGGGGCCTAGCTGGGGCCGAAAGGGGCCTAGACGGGGCCGAAAGGGGGCCTAGACGGGGCCGCAAGGGGCGTAGATGGGGCCGCAGAGGGGCCTAAACGGGGCCGTAAGGGGCCAGACGGGGCCGCGGAGGGGCCTAGACGAGGCCGCGGAGGGGCCTGAACGGGGCCGTAAAGGGGCCAGACGGGGCCGCAGAGGGGCCTAGGCGAGGCCGCAGAGGGGCCGAAACGGGGCCGCAAGGGGCCAGACGGGGCCGCGGAGGGCCCTAGACGGGGCTGCAAGGGGCCTAGACCGGGCCGCGGAGGGGCCTAGACGGGGCCGCGGAGGGGCCGTAAGGGGCCTAGGCGGGGCCGTAAGGGGCCGTAAGGGCGGCGCGAGGGGCCTTAGAGGGCGACACGAGGGGCCGTAGGGGGCCGTAAGGGGCCGTAAGGGCGGCGCAAGGGGCCTTAGAGGGCAGCGCGAGGGGCCGTAAGGGCGGCCAAAGGGGCCACTAAGGGCGGCTCGAGGGTAGGTAGGTCACACGAAACGCGACTCGGGTAGGAGTGAAGCGCGCTCCCACTCGGGAAAAAAAAAATCGTGGTGGGCCCTAGGCAGCATTCCCACTCGGGAACCTGCTCGATACCATGATGAGAAACGAGAATGATTGAACTATGAAAGAGTTGGGTACAAGTACTAACCCTAATTGGGTTGTACCCCTTATGGGCTACCCCACTACAGCCTACACAAATGTATAAGCTATAATGTTCTGACAGTAGCAGCACCTTAAGCCAGCAGGGGAGACGCCATAAAACTCCTTCAAGTTGAGCCTTTCTTTGCCGCGACGATCTTGGAGCGGAGATCGCGCCGTGATTTTCTCGCCGTGGAAGTTTCTTGGCGTGAAGATCCTTCGAAATAGACTCCCCATGCATATCTTGCAGATGAGATCATGTATCAGTTGCGGTGAAAGGTTGCCATCGGAAACATTGAAGATCCCAAACCTCTTGAAGATCGTGAAACTTTTGAAGAGTGTAACGATGATATATTGAAGCTCCCGAAGCTCTTGAAGAGCGTAAAGATGATACATTGAAGCTCCTGAAGCTCTTAAAGAGCATAAAGATGATATCGCGGTGAAAAGGTTGCCGCGAGATTCGGCGCAGTACACGGTTACACCCAAGGCACGCTTTGGCTCACTCCTCACAGACTACCCACCCACCCCAACCCCTAACTCAACGCCGCAGCCTGCCATGGGTTTCACCGTGTACTGTCCGGGCGACTTCAAGTCGCTTAGGTTGCTCAGGTAGAGCTATAGCCTGAAGTATATGATGTAGCTCATAGGATTGGACTGAAAATCCTTCATCGAGTTTGAGAATGAAGAAAATGGACGTCACAAACGCAACGTCGCTAGACCGGATGAGATGGTCCATAGAGCAGGTAGCAGAAGGTAGCTGCTGAAACTGAAGGAAAGGCATGCTACTGATCAGGGATGATTGAATTCAGTTCCAGCCTTTCTGAATGGCGGCTAGCGCGGCGTCAACCCAAATGTGATGGATCAATGAATCAAGTGTGCGGTACAGCAATTACCTGGGTGCAGTGCGGTGTTACGCGGTAGCAGGGGAATTACTGGTCATGTGCTATGGCTGGTAGCGAGGGAAATGCTGACACTGGGCTGGGTACGCGGTGCGAGAAGTACAGTGTGATGTGAATGGATGGATGGTGGTGGTGCAACAGACCATAGCGGTGAGGAGGTGTGGTGGCTTGTGCCATCGGCCAATCAAATGGCGCGCTGAGATTGTGGCAAGGGACATTTGTCGAGCGGCGTGTGGAGAACATTTTGAAGCGGGCCCCCTTATCCATCCAGGCCAGCCCAAATTGTACACTGCTTTGACACAAATTGGTTAGAAAATGCAAATTGGTGAAAATGCACATTTATTGGCCTTGCTCGTATGCAAACGCGTTTGCCAAGGACGCGTATTTCTGGCTGGGAAGGTTGTTCGGCGTGCTGATGCACAACTGCAAGGGCAGGCTCGAACTTCTGAGAGGTGGTTGACGTGGCGCTTTCTTTGGTTGGGCCATGAGTTTTTTTTAGCGAACCCGTGTGAATTTTGCGTGAGGTGCGGTGCGGGACGGCTTTGGTTCAGGGCGTATTCCCGCACTTCGGGTCATCAGCACTTCGGGCCATCCGAAATTGTGGGATCCAATCGGAAATTCGGAATCAAGAGATTGGGATGCATTCTGATTTTCCGATTGGATCCCACAATCTCGGATGACCCGAAGTGCTGATGACCCGAAGTGCAGGAATACGCCCTCAGTTATGGGAATCGTGAGTGGCGCGAAAAAGCTCAGCTGACTGGCTAAAGCTGAATCGGGCAACTGGAAATCCAATGGTTGGATGAAATGAGATTCACGTGAGCCAACAGAAATGGTGTTTTAGCCACCATGGCACATCCACCACGGCATTACCAACAACCCGAACCTCGAGTTGCCGAACCTGCCACACCTAATCCTCTCTCTCTCACCCGTCATTTTCCAGTTGTAATAGCGCAAGGTTCGACTTACACTCGGTGGTAGTTTTGTCGCTCATCATGTTAGCTGTTTCTTGATACTTGTTTCTCGTTTACCAGATCTTAGCGCGGTAGTCAACGTGGAGCGTAAGGCCATCTTCTTGCTTTGTCAGCGAGTTAACATTGTGGTAAAGGTGACCCACTCTATCGGTCGTTTCTTAGTGTTAGTCGCTTCAACGCGTTTGGTAGTGTGTTAGCAGAATTAGATCTGACATCAAACATTGCAGTTAGTCGCCCCACCGCATTCAGTTGCACGCCTCCGAATCTGACGTTCTTTATTGCTTGCGGATTGAGGACGGAATAGTAACATACGTCCGCGGAGGAATTGGTCGCCTCGCTTCCAAACGCATCAGTAACGTTGCGCGTATCGTCGATTAGACAGCTTTGTCGACGGTAGCCGGACGCAAGGCGGAAATAAAGAGGGCGGGAGGTGAGTGGCGGGGTGAAACGGGAGAATGGACGGGTGAAAGCTTTTTTTGAGGACGGAGAGGATCCGCGAAAGGTAACACGGGAACCCGCCATTTTTTTTTTCCTATTTTTCCCCTTTTCCCTCCCCATTTCCCCGCTTCCCCTTCTCTCCCTTTTCACCCCATGACGCAGCCTAAAAACATAATTCGTCTCTCTGCTTCCCAGCTCTCTCCTCATCGTCCCTGCTCTCCCCGCATCTTTTCCGTTCTCCTCGCATCTTCTCCGTTCTCCCCCCATCTTCTCCGCTCTCCCCGCATCTTCTCCGTTCTCCCCGCATCTTTTCCGTTCTCCCCGCATCTTCTCCGCTCTCCCCGCATCTTTCCCGTCCTCCCCTCATGCCCCCCTCTCTCCCTTCATCCCCCAGCCCCCCTTCATATCACCGCCGCGCTCTCTTGCTCTCTTCCTTCACGCCCACCCTCATCTCCCTTCCACTCCCCCCTCGTTCCCCATCTCTCCCCCACCTCCCCTCTTCCCGCATTTCCGACTTACCCGTGTTCCCCTCCCCCCACCATACCTCAGTTTCCCTCCCCCCCCCCCCTCACGCCTCCTCTCCCTCCCGATCCGCCCCTCATCTCCCTCCCCTCCCATACCACCGCAACCCCATCACCCCTCATCTCCCTCACTCCCCTTCTCCCTCTCTACAACCTAACCACCCAACATCCCCCTTTGCTCTCCCCTCAGCTTTCCCCCACTCACCCTTCATCTGTCCCCGCCCATTCACTCATCATCCTCTCCCCCCCCTTCCCCCCGTTCCCCTATATGTCTGTTTGCCTGCAATCCATGTCTTTTGACTCCTCAACTTTCCGGTCTGTACCCCCCACCCACCCCATCCTCATTCCCCTCCATTTATTCACTTCTCATTCCCCTCCTTCTCTATGACTGCTTGCTTTTGCGGCAACTGCATGCCTTTTGGCTCCTCAGCTGCCTGGTCTGGCAGGTGAGTGCTTGTCATTGCTGCTCCTGATTGCTGCTTGCTGCTTGTCTCAGTCAAAATGGCGATTTTAAACCCTTTTGGCACTGTCTTTCTATCTGCTTGCTTGCTTTTGCGGCATGTCAGCGGAACTCAGCTGCCTGCTTGCTTGGATGTGGCTGGTTGGCTTGGCACCCATAGAAACAACTCTCCCTGGTTCCTGGTGTGACAGATGGCTGCATGTGATTGGGTAGCAGCAGGGTGCTATGACCTTTAACCTTTTTGTTCCAAGAGTTTGGACATATCCATGACAGCTGGAGTGGATGTATTTTTGTACACCCTGTTACAGTAAGATCATCATCACCCAGCAGCTAAGGATGCGTCACAATTGCGACATCGATCCTGTGGGAGATCGATGTTCCGAGTATGTAGTAGTTCGCCGTGTCTTGTATCCTGTTTTCGTTAAAGTTCCCTAAGACCCAACACAAGTCACCGAACGCGATGTCCCTTCCAGATCGATCTGTCACCGCACTCAAATCCTACGTAGTGAATATGATAATTTTTAAACACACATAGTGTTTTTTTTAAATTACGTATTTCGAAAGCGCAGCTGACTGTAACGCGAATTTGGCATCGTCGAAGCGCGCTAACGCCCTTCTCCAACTACAAATCGTGGGTTGGAGTTCATTTCCCTCCACCCACGTCTCTCATTTTTCAAACGGCTCATGCAACTCTCGGTTCCTCGAGCTTTAGTTTTCCGTTCAAGCTGGCTAGAACCCGCTCTCTACCGAGAGGCGTTTCACCTTCAACACTATTAGCCGACATTCTCAACCACAACACCACGACGATGGCTGCTACGCCGACACTTTTCGCGCGAACAACACCGTCGTCAACGACCCGATTAATTCCGACAACGATCGCAATGCCCGGGAAACGTCGGGCGAGCGTCGCAACAAGCGCCGGGCAGACGGCGAAACGTCCGCCCCAACTGCCGTAGACGTGCTGCTGGGCGGGCTCGAGGTAAACAAAAACGTCGAGCGGCACCAGCAGCACCCTTCAGCGCCTGTGGGGCCTGTTGCGCCAGTGGCACCTATGGCACCTGTGGCAAACGTGGCGCCACACGCTGCTGACACGGAGCACGCGCCTGAGGCACACGCGCCCCTCAGGTAGTCGCGCCAGAGGCGCAGGACGGCCGCCTCGTCTGACGCGACCGTGGACCCTGACTTGACCAGAGCGTTGACCCCGGACCAAGTCAAAGCGCTTCTGTCCCTGTTACAGCAGCGACCCGCCAGCGTCATTGAAGCCGTAAATACACAACCGGCAGCATCGATTTCGGCTAAAAACGAAATTTTGAAAAAGGAGAAGGGAGCAAAAGGAGCGTCAACACGCCGTCACAACAAAGAAGCGGCTACCGGCGTTCCCGAAGCCGCAGCCGACAATCATGACTGCGACGACTCAGACGACGACGCTGGTGAGGGTCCAATCAACGCAACAAATTTTACATCCATGGAAAATCTCCCCCCCCCTTCCTTCAACCACCCCCACCTTCTCAGCCGCAAACTTCATGAAGACAATCGTGCGCGCGAAAGCGGAGCCCCTAGAGGACGTGAGGGCCTACCTGAAAAACGCGGAGTACAAGCTGCAGCACGACGACACGGCGGGCGGACTCGAAATGGTCGTCAACGCCCACGACTATATTTCGGAGCGCTTCGTGATGTTCCAAGTCGAGGACCACACCGACGACCGCGTGGCGAAGCGATTCAAACTCTACCAGCAGAAGAGTCTCCTCACCTCCCGCCCGTTCAAGCAGGCGGTGGATGACGTGGCGGCTATGGATCGCGCGGAGGGCGCGTACGCTCGTTCCCACCGCGGTGGAGGGCACGGGCCGACTTCATACACCCCAAAGCGGGGACCGCCGCCCACGGGTGGCTTCCATGGCTTCCGTGGGGGGCGTGCTTCCGTTGTGGCCAGCCGGGTCACATGGCAAGTGGCTGCCCGTGAAACGGAAACGGTGGCCAAGGACCCGCACCCGTGGTGTAGGGGCGGGCCTTGAGCGATGGCGCCTTGTGCGCGTGGCACGGTGCACGTCATGTGCAAAGACCGTGGGCAACCCAAAGGGGTTAGCGGTGGCGGTTGGCCAGCCCTAGTTAGGGGTGATTAATAGGCTAGAGGCCTAGGATGAGGGGGAGGGAGTAAAAACCTCTTGGCCCATTGGTAGGAGCCCATGCGGTAGGGGCGAAGGCATGCTAGGAGCATGGTAATATATGGCCCGGTTTATATAAGGGCGGTTTTATTAAAGAAGCAATTTCTGACTTGGCTTATGGTGTGAAAAAAAAAAAACAAAAACAAAGGGGGGGGGGGAGGAAAGAGAGAAGGAGCGGAAAAAGAAGAGACAAGGAGAGATGGAGGAGCAAAGAATGGCAAAGATACTTACCATATGACCCCAATCAATGACCCTTGCACTCATCGGACGTGCAACCATTGCTTTGGCCAATGGGCCAAGAAGCATGACCCGACTCAAGGGCGAGCAAGAGCAAGAACGAAGGAGAATTTGTGTGTGTGCGCACGTGTGTGTGAAAGAGAAAACGAGGGAGAGAGAGGGAGGGGGAGGGAAAGAGAGAGAGAAAGAGAGAGAGAGAGGGAGAGAGAGAGAGAAAGAGAGAGAGAGAGAGAGAGAGAGAGAGAGAGAGAGAGAGAGAGAGAGAGAGAGAGAGAGAGAGAGAGAGAGAGAGAGAGCAAGCCAGAGATAAACAAGGAGAAGAAGAAGAAAAAAAACTTGTGGTCACGTGACCATGCGGGAAGACTCACACCCACTCCTTGGTTTAGGGATTGCCAAAAAAAGGGGGTCGTACAATGCGGATGCTATTGCCGACAAATGATTATTCGAATGGGTCAATGAGCATACACCCATCGCATGCACCTACCCTTCACACACGAAGGATGTGTATCATATCCATAAGAACCTCAATTTTGCAATCCTGCCCCATTGTCACTCCGCAAACATGCAGAGGCAACAGGAGGTGTTAGACGACGACGATCCGTACGAGTTCGCCGTTACAGACAAGACCGTCACGCGAATGCGCGGGCGGCTTCGCGCAACCCTTGCATGGTGGAGTTCGTGGTGCCCAAGTAGCCTCATCCTCTCGGTCATCGCCAATGGCTACTGGCTACCATGGAGACACAACCCCCCATAACTGTTGAAATGAACGAACAGGAATGATTGAACTAACAGTGAAATCAGTACAAGTACCTAACCCTAGAATTGTGTACCCCCTATAGGCTAACCCACTATAGCCTAAACAAGCACAACATATATAATGTTTGACACACCCCCATAGGCGAAGTGGGGGAGAACTAGGGGTCACAAGACCAGTCAAGGCAAAGCAAGGCAAAACAAGCTCAGGGTGGATCTCAAGGATACCACACAAATTCCGAGCACAAGCAAATGGTCACAAGACCAGTTCACATGCAAGTTTATAATAGAGCAAGAGGTACAATGATCACAACCTAGCAAGACTAAACATGCAGGTATATATATAGAGATCACAGTACAAACAGACTCAAGAAGTAAGCAAGTGAGGTCCAGTAGGCACAAGGCCTAGAAGAGTGCAAAAGCACTGATGGCCACAAGGCTAAAGCGCCTTGGTGAACACATCAGCAGTGTTGGCCTCAGAGGCCACGTAACGCAGACGAAGCTGACCGCGCTGCTGCAGCTCTCGAGCAAGGAAGTAGCGCAGAGCAATGTGCTTTGTTCTATGCTCCAGTCTGTGCTCCTCACACAAGGCAATGGCTGCCTTGTTGTCGACGTACAGCACTGGAGGAGAACGAGGCCGCTCTCCAAGGTCGGTCAGCAAGAAGGTGAGCCAGCGTAGCTCCTGGGCCGCCATGGCTATGGCGTAGATCTCAGCCTCACAACTGGAGCTGAGAACAGAAGAAGAGTGAGTAGAACGCCAAGAAACTGAACCAGAGCCAAGACTGAAGGTGTAACCCTGAGACGACCGCTGAGTAGCCTGGTCGTCTGCCCAAGAAGCGTCTGAGTGCCCAGTAAGAACAACTGGGTCTCGCCCTCCAAGCACTAGCCCCATGCCCGACGTACTGCACAAGTAGCGCAACACCCTCTTAGCTGCATCCATGTGCTCCTTCCGGTGACGGCCGGGAGCGACATAGCGTGCAAGAATGCTAAGAGGGTATGCAAGGTCAGGTCGAGTGCAGGTCATCACGTACATGAAGCAACCCACAAGCTCTGGATACGGGCCACTCGGCTCTACGGACTCATCCGAAGGCAGAGCTGAGAGCGAGTGACCGGTAGGCAGAGGAGTGGCCTGAGGCGAGGAGTACGTGAAGCGGAAGCGCTGAAGGACCTACTGCACCATGTGTGACTGAGTCAAGGTGATGGTGCAGCGTGCTATGTCCCGGGTGATTCGCAAGCCAAGATAGCTTGTCAGTTCACCCAGGTCTGTGCACGTGTGTCTCTTCTGCAGCTCCGACTTCACGTGGGCGAGTGCCGCAGTGTCAGCAGTGGCAAAGACCAAGTCGTCGACGTACACGAGGATGTAGAACGGCGGCAGTGAGGTGTCGGTGCGTAGAAACAGCGACGGGTCAGCAGTAGAAGGCGCGAACCCAAAAGCCGCAAGTGTAGTCCTCAGTGTGACGTGCCACTCACGTGGCGCCTGGCGGAGACCGTAGACTGGCCGTCGGAGGCTCCATTGGGTACCAGGAGGGAACGACCCAGTGAAGCCAGGTGGGCGGCGCAGCCAGATCTCCTCGTGCCGGCTGCCCTCTAGGAAAGCAGTGCTGAAGTCAAGAGAGTGGAGCTCGTAGTCACGCTGAGCGGCGACGTGCAGCAGAATCCGAAGAGTGGTCATCTTCGGGGTCGGGGAGAAGGTCTGGAAGAAGTCAACTCCCTCTCGCTGACTGAAGCCTCGTGCAACGTAACGCGCCTTGAAGACAGGCGGAGAGCCCGGCGGCCGCTTCACCCTGAAAATCCACATGCCACTGACGATGTTCGCCCCAGGCGGGGGAACCTCGTCGACGTAGGTGCCTGTGGACTTCTGGAAGCCATCTCTGTGTCCATGGCTGTCTGCCACTGAGAGGAGTAAGGACCGGCCATCGCCTCTGCGTAAGAGCGTGGGGTCGGGATGTCTGGTGCATCCGGGTCTCCCTCAGGGGCAACAAGCATGGACACGAGATGGGGCAAAGCGGCAGCAAAGCACTCAAACTCCTCCTGCGTGTCCTCAAGGACGTCAGTGCCAAGAGCACACTCACCCCCGACGGACGGAGGACAGACAGACTCAGACTCAGCAACTAGGCTAGCGGCGTAGTCTAGACGACAGGTGGCAGCAAAGTCGACAAGCTCAGCAACTAAGGCAGACGCAGCAGCGGAATCAAAGAAAGGGTCAGTGACAACAGTAGCCAGGAGACGCGTGACAGTAGGACTGGCAGCACGAAGGGAGTCTGACTCCGGGTCAGCAAGAGTAGGAAGAGAGGACGCAGGAGGAGACGGCAGTGGGACACGCTGTGGAGCAGTGGAAGGACGAAGCGCCATCCGGTGAGTGCCTGGGAGAGCAGGAAGACGCTAACGCGGGACACGACTACCAGTGAGAGCAGCACGGACAGGCGACGCACGACGAGACTCAGGCGACGCAGGACGAGACTCAGGCTCACGACGCTTAGTAAGACCTCCAGTCGGACCAGTGTAAGGAGCAGGACCAGGGAGAGAGGAGGCAGACGGTAGTTGCGACTGCAGCTGGACAGACGGAGGACACCCTAAGGAGGGAGGAGGAAAAGGAGGAGGGAGCTGACCAAGAACCTGTTGAAGGAGTGGAGCGAAGTACGGCCGCGGCCGTGCAGCGACTCCAGAACCAGTAGAGACACCAACGCCAGGGTCCTCAGCACCAGCAGCAGCTCCAACTCCCGGGTCCTTAGCACCAGCAGCAGCTCCAACGCCCGGGTCCATAGCACCAGCAGCAGCACCAGCGCCAGGGTCCTCAGCACCAGCAGCAGCTCCAACGCCCGAGTCCTCAGCACCAGCAGCAGCTCCAACGCCCGGGTCCGCAGCACCAGCAGAAGCTCCAACGCGCGGGTCCGCAGCACCAGCAGCAGCTCCAACGCCCGGGTCCGCAGCACCAGAAGCAGCTCCAAACTCTGGGGCCGCAGCACCTGCAGCACCAGTAGAGTCTCCAGCACTAGCAGCACCACCAGCAGCAGCGGGGTCCGCGACACCAGGCGCGCCACTCCGAAGAGTGCAGCGCCGCTCGTACCACTCACGGATCCACTCACGGGAGGGGAGCTCCCGACTAGGAGGAGAAGCACTAGCACCAGTCCCACTAGTATGCCTGGCTCCAGAGGTACCTCTTCTGAGCCTGCAGTACTGTAAGTACCACTCACGCAGCTGCTCCGAGGAGAGGGCTCCTCCAGGTGTAGGACTCCCAGGCTCAGCACCTCCAGGCTCAGCACCCCCAAGCTCAGTACCCCCAGGCTCAGCACCCCCAGGCTCCGCACCCCCAGGCTCCGCACCCTCAGGCTCAGCACCCCCAGGCTCAGCACCCCCAGGCTCAGCACCCCCAGGCTCCGCACCCGCAGGCTCCACACCCCCAGGCTCCGCACCCCCAGGCTCCGCACCCGCAGGTGGACGAGAGTCAACAGCTACCTCAACAGGCTCAACCGGGACTACCTGAGACACACCTGAGGGAGCGCCACCCTGAGGGGGGAGGGGGTCTACGACAGCAGCACCTGGCGCGAGGAAGAGAGGCGGGGGGGGGAGCGGGGCAGTGCGGTAGGGGAAGAGGCGGTAGTAGGGGACGGACTCGTCAAAAGTGACGTCCTGAGAGGGCAAGACTCGGCGCGAGGTGGCGTGGTAAAACTGCCAACCAGGCGCGTCCGGGACAAAGCCGAGGAAGACGTAGGGAACAGCACGGGAGGATAGCTTGTCCGCCGACGTATCGCGGACAAAAGCTCGAGATCCCCAGACCCGGAAACGCGACGCATCGCCAACCTCCCCCGTCCACAGCAGTGTGGGCGAGGTCTCCGGCAAGGAGACACGGGGCCAGAGGTTGAGCTGATGCGCAGCGTACCGGACCGCAAACGGCCACAGAAAGTGGGGGGCAGCCGCATGGATCAAGGAGGTACGGGCGACCTCCATGACCAGGCCAATGCGGCGCTCTGCAATCCCATTCTGATGTGGAGAGGCCGGAAGCGTGAACGACTGCTCAATGCCGTGCTCAGCACAGTAGGCTGCCAAGAGGTCGGAGGAGAACTCACCACCTCTGTCAGAGTGCAAGCGCAGGACAGGAAAGTCCGAGTGGAAACGCTCGCTGAGCTGGAGACGGGCTCTGCGGATCCAAGGGATCAAGACATCAGGGACCTCACCCTTGGTGCGCAAGGGGAAGACCGTGGTGTAGCGCGAGTAGTCGTCAACAACTATCAGGAAGTACCTCTCTTGACCCTGACCACGGACGCGGGCTGTGCCCCACACGTCCATGTGGAGCGTCTGCAAGGGAGCAGTCGTCGGGGGAAACGAGGAGGAGTGAGGAGCGGCGCGCTGCCGCCCCTCAACACTGGGAAGACAGGGAGGAGCAGGTGAGGGAGGGAGGGGAGGAAGGACCCTGGGAAGGCCAGAGATAAGGTACGGGGAGTGCATGGCACGAAGCCGCTGCACAGACGGGTGGCCAAGTCGGTGGTGCCAGAGGACAGTCTCGTGTGCCAAAGAGCGATACGAGCAGGGGGCGGACAGCTGATCTGACGCGGACGCGGACGCAGTCGCAGCAACCTGAGGGGACTCAGTAGTCAGTGTGTACAGGTCCGACCCCGGCTGCCGAGTGAAGGTAGCCAAGTGACGGCCCGTACGAGCACACGTGCTGTGTGTCACGCGCTCGTAGGCAAGGGTGAACTGGTGAACAC